TTGTTCTTCGAATGACATTCTACGTGGGCGATGACTAATGGGAATTTCGTCAGTTAAAATAATTTGCATCTTCAATCCGGTATCCTTAACCTTATTTGGCTCATAGGTTGTAATTAATTCCATCAAATTCTGTCGTTGCTTTCTATCCAGAATGTGACTTAAATCTATCTGACAACAATCTGTCGCATCTGCCAATTGACCTAAAAAGCATGTTTTTTCGTTCTCAACTTCTGAGGGATCAGTTAAATCATACTCCCTGTCGTCGGTGAACGAAACATGGTTAAAACGGTTTAATCTGCCCATATTTGCACTTAATTGCATTTTTTTGCTTTCATTGCAAGGCTTCGAAAATGCATCAGATTTGGAAGTAAACTTTTCTGTTTTATTTCTGCCGAAATCGTTTGTGTCACTAACCACAAGGGGTGATTTAGTGTTTTGAAAACCGTTTCCCTCTCCCCACTCAGTGGAATGCGAAAGGAACGTCTGCTCTTTTCTAGAGGCGTCATCTGATCTAACGAGTGTTGATTCAGCCGCAGACTTTCCATCGGGGACAAAAATTCGAGTATAATTAACACGAATAGTATTTTGACTTCGTTTCCCCATGACTTTGAATCCGTAGTTTGTTATAGAGAAGTTCAGCTTATTCAGAACCACTATTCCTATTATTATAAAATTACACAGATCACCTTCTACCACGTAAATATTTGCAGGAAGAGAGTATTCGTCAATCTTTATTTCACTTTCGAAGAAAGCTAACAGAGAAATACTATTCCCATCTAATCCAATTAAAGATGCATCATCTGAGTTTAATTTCGGAGTCCGTATTTTATCATAAAAATGCCTTGGTATGATCGTTACGTCCGACCCGGTGTCGATGAGTCCTTTTGTTTTTGCACCTAGGATTTCAACATCCGTTTCAATTTTGTTGTTACATCTAGAGAAATGACTTAGTTCCATTTTGTTTACTTCTTTTTGAGGACAAGCGTTAGCTTTATGGCCGAATTTTTTGCACTTAAAACATCCAATACCTTCGGATTTATACGAGCAAATACTTGAAATGTGACCAATTTCATTACAATTAAAACATTTGACAGTTTTACCGTCATGCTTATTTCGATAAGGCTGGCGTTTTCGATGCTCTGTAGGTAGATTCGGTTTAGACTGAAACGAACGAGAATATGTAGACCGGATCTTCTCATATACTCTCAACTTTTCACGAAATTCTGTCAAATTATCTGTTCCGTATAGCATCGCTTTGTTACTGGGTATGTCACGTATATCAGAAATAACATATTCGATCAACCCGTCAGGCTCAATTTTTCCACGACTAGCGAGTTCTTGCATTTTAAAGAAATGTTCTTGCACGGATTCATTGGGGAGCATTTGGCGTTTAGCCAACATACTGTGCAATCGCGCTGAGTTATATTTACTTCCAAATTCCGTTTTTAATTCCGATTTCAATTTATCCCAGGAATCAATACCGCTTTGACCTTCAATAAATAATTTCGCTAACAATGTTAAGGATTGTTTTGCAAATATAAATTTATGTAAATCAGACCAAGTCATCATTTTAGCAAAGTCTTCGAATGCAACCAGCCATTTATCGATAGAACAATATTCACTACCATCGAAAGGTTTGATTACGTTTTTCACGTCATGAAAGTTAATGGAAAGTTTAGTCATATCCGAAACACGCAGACAATTATTGCTAGGTGGATCATCGGCAACACTTTGAACTTCTAATACATCTTCGTCTTCGGTATCAACGTCTGCCAAGATCAGATTTGATTGTAATGATTTTAAATCAGAAAGAGAAAGAACAAGCCTTTCGACGATTTCGTCTTTAGTACCGTCATACTGAACATTTAATAAGTTGCACAAAACAACTAGGTCGTTTAATCGAAAGTTCTCATTAATATATTGCACTTTCTTTTTTAAGTTTTCGTCCTGTTTGGATGGAAAATTGAATCCACCAAAGGTTCTTAATCTTTTTCTGTTATTTCTATCTCCAACCTCTTCGAATACAAGTTGATGCAACAATTTTATTGACCTTGTCGAGGCCGACTTTAGCGTTTCGCCGATAATTTCTACGAGCGTCGCCATCTTAAAAGTAAAATTTTAAAACTACTCACGGTTTGCCGAAACTTAAGTCGAAGTCCTTCTGGAATTCCGATGTATTCGGAATCTCCAACGTTGAAATTTTCACAAGAACAGAAACGTCTGTAATTCCACTGTACTCACAAAACCAAAGAGCAGTTCGTCAAATCTTTTCGAGTTAAGCCTAATTTACGTCCGAGCCTATTCCTATCCCGGACGGGCCCCCACTTCTGTGAGACTTTTCTTTGCCTTTTGAAAAGCTTTAATTGAAACAAGAAAGATTTGGATAACAGGAACGTTTTAAGAAATACAAATTACACAAAAAATATTGTGATTACTATAAAAAAAACAAATGTAGGACTTCTTTCTCGTCTTTCGTCTTTTCGCACGTCTTCCTCAACCGTCGTCTCCTCTCGCGAAGTCGTGTTTCGTCCCCGCTCTCGTCGTCTCGCAGGCCGATGGCGTTTCGCTCTCCACATTCATGTTTAAGCATCAACAGTTAGCACTCTGATTAAGATATTAAACGTTTGTTTCTATCAGGAAATAGAAATGATGGAACAGACAGGAAATCATTATCTGAGCATAATCATGAATTTATTGAGAAATTTGAAAGAGAAAAAAAACGACATAAACTTCATTTAAAAGTATGGTTATCTTACGAGAGATGAAAAGAAAACCAATGCTGCGAAATTTGTTTGTGCAAACTTCACAGTATTATGCTCTGCATTATATGAATACATAATGCAAGATGTACAGAAATGAAAAGTAGTTCATTATGAATTCGTTTGTAAAAAATTCGCAGAGAGCATAGACTTGGAGGACTGAAAATATAAATAATACTAAAATCAAGAACAAGATATTTATTTAAACAACAAATTCGTAACCCGTGACTTTCAAGTTCTAAGTTACTACAACATGGCAGTACTCGAAAAATGGTGAGATGTAGTCTGCTATTGAACACAAAAATTGAAAGCATAAAGCTTACTTCAAACAAAAAATGTCCATTAATGTGGCAAGTCTTCAAGAATACCGAAGTAATTTCAACCAGGTCAAACGAATCACTTGAAAAATTTCAGATGTAATATTGAAAGTGCTGGATACTATATAAGTAAAAAAATTGCATTAAATATATGAAAGATAAAATTGAACAATGGGGTCGTTTATATGTACAAATCAATAAATACTATAATTTAAAAAATAAAAGTTCTCAGAGCACTTTGTCATGTAAAAGCACTCATTCTTCACCGACTTCGAGTAAATTGTAAAACGACTGTTAAATATCAAAAAGCAAAACATTTATTTTACCTTTAAAAAAATTCAAAACTATTGCAGCCACACGAAGCTAGTACTCAAGACTTTATTGCAATAATGACAGCAGTAATCAAGACTTAATTATTGCTGTGGGAAAATCAACCGACACGGATTAAAGTGATTTTACATGCATCTATATCATACAGCATCAATACCATATAGAATACAGTAGATTCCGTATAATACGGCAGATTCGTTCTGTCCTTTATGAATTTCATGTTGTACGAGTCCTTAAATACATGAGCCAATCACAGCCCGGCACGTATGCGGTTTACGGACTACGACTGTTTGAAAGGCTCTCTTCCATAAAGTTAATCGATTCTAGACTAATTTGACTCGACATTTCCAAAACACGTATAACTTTTTGGGAATAATCCATATAAACTATGCTATAAACAAAAAATTGTAGGATTACTTACCGAGTGTACACCTTTCGACGACGCCATTGCTTAAGCTTGTTTTCGTCCTGGAGCAGCGCATCGAACAGCGGGCGCGTGTTTGCTGATAAGTTATTTTTCGGCGAAAATATTGCTGAACTTTGGAGACATCATTAATATAAATATAATTTTTATGGCCGTTAAATAATAAATGGTATTTGGTAGGTCCGCTGCTCGTTTAAACTCAACGGTTTGTGCAATATCCGCTATTGGTCTAGATTCGACACGAGTCGGCGATGACCTTTTACTGTATTTTACGAGTTTTTTTAGCGTGTTTATACGAATACGGTCGCAATTTTTACGCCGTATTATACGAATCCGTATTATATGAACCCGTTTTATAGGGGTCTACTGTAATTAGAAGAAAGAATAGAAATGGATATTAATTTCTGGTTAGTGAGACTAATGGGACACTTAGAGATCCTGAGACATGATACGAACTATCTTAGATGTTTCTTCAGAGAAAAAACTACTCCGAACACATTAAAATTAAAAAAGTTAATCAGGGACATTGTCCCTGATAATTAAGATACTGTAGGATTGCTTGTATCTTAATTAGTTCTGTTATGGTTATTTCGAGTCACTTATCACAGTTGTGAAGAAAATGAATCCTGTTCTAGAGTTCATTACAGAATAAGATTCGTTATATTTGTCTTTGACCATTTATTCGAGTATCACTGAAAACCTGATACCAGATTTTTACGGTCATCAAAATATTTTATATTGTGGTTGCAGTACATATCTGGTAACATGTTTTAATTGTTAGCATATAATATAAATCGAATGTAAATATTTGATTCGGAGCGTATAATATAAATATACTGTGGTGATATTTATATTTATATTATATGCTTCAAACAGTAAAATTTTCAATATTTTCTTTATCACTTTCATTCCAAAATCGAAACTAATCTTTCTCGAAGAAAATTACTTTGTTCCATTTCCTTACTTGAATTTATTCCAACATATTTTATATGCTAAATTTTAAACCACAAAATGTTTAACAGTTATTTTATATTATACATATATTACTTGTTTGCATTTTCATCATATGTATTGCTTTAAATTTTGAAGTAATTTTTAATATTCTTTTTGTTGTTTCTTTATAATATAAATAATATGTATAATAATGATTTATTTTCATTAAATACTCAGCACTGATTCCTGTATACAGAAAATCATTCGGGAGAAATTCAAATCTTATACAGTGTTGACAATAGCCCATAGATTACATACAATCATCGATTCGGATAGAATAATGGTAAGATTTATCTCTTTATAATGTAAAATAAATAACAATATGATTTTAATAATGCATTTTAAATGCTTAGGTTATGGATACAGGAATAATACGAGAATTTGACTCACCATATTCATTACTGAAGAATGTAAATGGAACATTTTATAATTTGGTAAAAAACACAGGAATAACATCAATGAATGAGTTGTACAGAATTGCTAAAAATAAATATTATATGAAGAAAAGTATCGAAAGCACAAAACTATAAAACAGTTGGGTTGTCTTCTGTCAACTTTTGTAGGTTTTATTCTATTTTTTGAAATTTAATTCGTTTGAGAATGTGTGTTTAATGGTATAATCAGAAAGATATGTATAATTTAGAATTGTTAAAGTTTACAAATTCGATAGTGTTATACAGATGAACTGTCATATATCAGTATCGTAAGTGTTATAAAATCTAATAAGCAACTTTTTGAGTAAATACTATTAAATAATATAAAATCTTCACGTTGAATCTCTGGGACAACAATGTTTCTTGTTAACTTTTAGCAAGCAATAAAAAATTGATGTATCACATTCTGTGAGTTTAGAAGTTAAAAAAACTCTTAATTTCTGAAAAGAAAGAATAATATTTCTTCATAAATTAACTGTTGAAGAGAGGATGTATGTCATATAACAGATGATACTGAGAAACACAGAGTTAAAAAATTAAAGAATAGAAATGAGCATAATTGGAATAAATTATAAGAAAGTTTGTTTATGAGAATCATTAGTGAAATCATAACCCAGACCATAAAATATTGTGTAGTAAATAGGATAATATGTGCAAATAAAATAAAATTTTTTCATTTTTTTTTGTATTACTATTATATTCAATGATTAGTATTTAAGAACCATGCTCAGAACGAAATGTGAAACAGAGCGGTATCGAAATTTAAATTTCAACAATCTGTAAGTTTACACTTCTGTGAATATGTCCACTTATAGAAAATATAATTTTAAATTAAAATTAATAAATGAAATAACATAAAAAAATGAGAGTTCGAATTATAAATATTTATTTCCATTGAATTTATGTTTTGTTCTGTATATGAATGAGGATGTTTGTTCGCTACAAACTCCTTCCTATGCCGTTCTATCAGCCGCTACAAAACTTGGCAATTACGTTAACATAGGCCTACTTGTAACTACAATAATATCATATATCCCAGTCCAAAATATTGATTGCATATCTATATATCTATTTCATTGCTGGTTTCACCTATACCATCATCTATTAGTAAAAAATTAAAAAACAATAATGTAAATATAATTCGTATAAAAAGGGTATAATTTTTATTTAAAAAATAAATATTATATTTACTTAATTACTGCAACATTGATATAGTGTGAAGTTCAGCATCTATATCATTAGAGAGATGGATAGAACGTCGTACACATCTGAATTGAGCTGAAAATGTTACGCCGGGGAAAAAACTATATAAGTATTTAAGTTTTTATATATAAGTACACGTACATAAGTTTTTTATTTCTGAATGGTTCTTTCTTAATTCAAATAAGTCCCACCAGTGGCTGAATGAATAATACCACTAAACTACTAGTAGTTGGTTGTGGGTCACGCATTGCCAACCAGTTGGGTATGTGAGTATGTGGACTTTATAAGTTTTCTTCATGTTAGTATCACCTAAATAGTAGCCAGATTTCAATTAATGTCCTCCTGGAAAGCATATCCCTCAGCAGATCGTCCAAATGTCACGTTGCTGTAACCAAATAAACTAAACTATTTTTAAGTATCTCAGTAAAACGTAGTTTGCTATTTATGGGGACATACTTCCAACGAAGTTTGTAGAAATTTTCATAATATTTTTAAAATGTATTTTAAGAACATTTTTGAAATTTACGATTAATAATTCCAAGAGTAATTTATAAAACCAGGCAATGCCGGTTGTAAGAAGCTACTATTTTTATACTCTCTAAAATATCTATTTGATTTTCATACATAAAATTTCTTCACTGATGACTAAATAATTATGTGTATAAAACACATAATTATTTAAACTAATTTATATTAACCTAATGTTTTAATTAATGATGCAAGATTTAAATGTATTAACATAATACAAATAATATAACCATATTCACAGTTAAAGTATTTTGTTGTGTTTTATTTATTTACTTTATTTACCATTGTGTAAATTTAATTTTTATTTACACAGCAATCTTTGCTTTTACATAATAAACATTTTAATATAGAATTTATAATGTTATCTGTCAAGATGACTTTACCGTAAAAATATCAGCCATTCACAAGCCAAATCAATTAACTCCACATTCGGCATTTTTTACAATTTTAGTGTCCAAACACATGATATATTGGTACCGTTTTATATTAATAGTAAGTTTTTCTAATAATAAAGATTAATATCACTTAAAGACAATTTGATTGGCCCTCAAAAATTTTTATTTATTTCAGAAGCCATTCTAATTAACTCCATACTGTAACGTAAATTTGTCAGCACAGACTGCAGCATTGCAATCGGAGTATGCGCTAACCAGTACCTTGTAGATAACTGTAAATTATTTAATGTTATCTCATTCAAAAAAATAGGAAAAGGAAATTAGTTAGCTATAGTTCAACTTACGAAGAAGTAAGTATTCTTGTGGAATATTGAAAATTTCTTTTTAGAAGAAAAAAGTTATACTGTTATATCAAAATGGATGAAACTGAAAATAATTTTCTTCTTCATTCCTCCAATTAAACGTGATTTTTATAAAGATTTAAGAGCGAATCGATGTGATGGTACATTAAATATAGCTGGTGATGAAGACATCATTTATGTTGCTGAATGATCAGTTTAAAAAAATAGTAATAACACCATTGTAACAATAAGAGAACAGTTAATATTCATTTTTGCAAAAAATCTTTAATAAAAAATGTATGATAATAAAGTTTCTCTATAATAAAAATCTACGTGAAAATTAAATTCAATGTTACTACGTTTTTTACTTGCCAAATCGATCAACTTGGTCAATTACACCAAAATCGTAATACAGTCGACCCCCCTATAATTACAGTCCCTATAATTACGATTCCTATAAAACTGCGAAAAAATTGTAACGGTATCCGTAAAAAAAGGTAAAAAAACTCTTATAATTACGTAAAACGTCATCGGGCAGCCAAACTACTTTCCCGCCGTCCGTAGCGGCACGCTACGGAGATATTTCTATCGTCTGAACAGTATTATATAAATTATATATAAATTAGGTACTGTATATATAATTATATATTAACTTATTGTAACTTTGTTATAATTAAATATATAATTTCCGCCGTCTAGCGTGGCGCCACGCTACGGAGATTTTACGCTAACTATCGTCTGTACAGTATGTAAATTAGGTACCGTTAGTCTAATACAGTACTGTAATTTTATACATTTCTTGTGAAAGAAACATTTCTTATTTAACAGCGATTAAAATTATTTATATTAATGATGTCTCCAAAGTTCAACGAAGTTTTCGCAGAATAATAAGTTGTTAGAAATCGGCCGCTATTTGCTGAGCCGCGACGAAAACAAGCTATAGCAATGGCGACGAAAACAAGCTTTAGCAATGGCGATGTCAAATGGTGCACACTCGGTAAGTAATCCTATAATTTTTTTGTTTATAGCGTAGTTTATACGGATTATTTCCAAAAAATATATACGTATTTTGGAAATGTTGAGTCGGTTAGTCTAGAATCGATTAATTTTATGGAAGAAAACCTTTCAGTCAGCCGTAGTCCGTAAACATGACACGTGTCGGGCTGTGATTGGAAGGACTCGTAAGAAATCAGATTCCTAAAGAATGGAACGTATCTATGATCTTATAGGGGGGTCGACTGTAATAATAACGACTATAGCATATATATGCTATATTATACATTTTACATGTTGTTAAATAAAAGCTACATCTAAAATAATACATTCTGCAATGCTTATTTGAATTTATATGTTAAAAGGTATTATTAACAAGAAAAAATAAAATGTATTTGCTTTGATCTTTCTTGTTAAAACTTTCCGTTTCTATTAAAACAATTAAATTTATTTTATTTAGCTTCTTTTTGTTTTTAAAAAAATAATTAAAGTGCAAATAAACTTAAGTTTTAGTGAATAATATATATTTATAAACAAAATCAATCTGCTAGATTTTCGACTATGTTAAAATGTATCGTAAAATAACGTTAAAATGTCAAATAGATACAAAATTGCTGATCTACATTAGACAGGGTCCTCTCTATTAAGTAAGGTTTGTAGTAATGTATAAAACAGCAATGTGATTCTTAGATTTCGCCTCAAATTGTACGGTATTTATAGAAAAATAATGTCATATAGGTCTATGCATTGAAAGTCAAATTCGTTGTTTGTCAAAATAAATGTTTGTCAAATACTTTGTTGGGCTGCAATTTGAAAAAGCTGCAGATTTATACATTTCCACTGTCGTCCGTCTGACTGTCCATCCTTAATCTGGAAAATGGATTTACATAGATTGCTATCGTGACTTCTTATTAGGAAGAGTATAACGTACAGGGGCAAGATACTACTAATTTGAGATCTAGAACATATATTTTAAATAAAATAATTTAAAAATGTGATACAATTGCTACTCGGCAATATGATGATGTCACAATATATAATTGCTCGTATTGTATTACTGTATAATAATAAATGTTATGTAATTTTTAAATTTTTCTGGAATTCTTATTCTTTAATTAAATTATGCTTGATGTTTTCTATAAAGATCGTGTATTTTAGTTCAGAAAACATTTGCGTATGACTTGCAATTGAACTCCTGTGTTGGTTTACAGTTGTATACAGTCTGGTACATAAACTTTTGTGAATTTTTAAAATAAAAATGTTTTAAATTTAAAATAAATTACGGTTCATTAAAAAATGATAATGTACAAGTTAAATTTACTAAAAACGTCACAACCTTACAAATATAATATAAAAATAAATAAAAAAATTGAATAAATGCGTAAAGAGTTAGTACAGGTCTAGAACCTGGTTAGTCGTAACATTTATAAAAGCTGCAATGAGTTGGTACACTGGCATACGCACAGAAGCACTTAACTTTTGTTAGGAAGTATGTTGATACTACAAATTTTGCGGCGATTGCTATTGCAATAAANATCAGCCGTAGTCCGTAAACATGACACGTGTCGGGCTGTGATTGGAAGGACTCGTAAGAAATCAGATTCCTAAAGAATGGAACGTATCTATGATCTTATAGGGGGGTCGACTGTAATAATAACGACTATAGCATATATATGCTATATTATACATTTTACATGTTGTTAAATAAAAGCTACATCTAAAATAATACATTCTGCAATGCTTATTTGAATTTATATGTTAAAAGGTATTATTAACAAGAAAAAATAAAATGTATTTGCTTTGATCTTTCTTGTTAAAACTTTCCGTTTCTCTTAAAACAATTAAATTTATTTTATTTAGCTTCTTTTTGTTGGTAGCAATGAGTTGGTACACTGGCATACGCACAGAAGCACTTAACTTTTGTTAGGAAGTATGTTGATACTACAAATTTTGCGGCGATTGCTATTTCAATAAATAGCAATTGCTTCACTTCAATTTGGTCAGCGGGTGATAAGAAGTAAAGTTAAATTAAACTATTTTTAAAAACAGCTTATTCAAAATTTTAAAAACATTTAATATTACCGCTAAAAACATGAGATAATTTCGAGAAATATAAGATGGAAAACACTGATATAGGGTATTTAAATAATCACAAATATATGAAATTGCATTACCGTTATGGATGTAGTACATTGTTATTGAAAAACCGTACATTTTTTACTGGGAATTACTGAAATACAGCTTCCATTTTATTAATTCATTTCTTATAACTTTCATTAACATCTTTATTATTATTCAGAGAGTATATTCGTCACATAATTTTATTAATTTCCACATCATTAAATGACATAAAACAGCTTAACATAATTTTACAACTCTTTTACTATTTTCACAATAATATGATATTTGTTACTACAAGAAATAATATTAATATCAAATATTGTAACTGCTCAAGTAACGTTAAATAATAATACAAGATAAACATTCTAACAACGAATTGCATAACTTTTATTTAAAACCCATTCCTACCCTTAAAATTAAGCTTCTTGTCATTGTAGAATGAACAATTATATAAAAAGTTTTCTAAAAATATGCAATAAGAAATGGAGCCACACGGAGTTTTAAATATTGTTGTTAAATAAATTTTTAAATATTTAAAGCATAATTTTGAGGGTAGGAATGGGTTTTTAAAAAAATTGTAAATGCTAATAACGAGTGAAATCTTTATTAAATATGACCCTACTCGAAATAATTTCACTTCTATCTCACAAATCCCTTGACTCTTAACCGTAAATTTTAAAAACATCCATTACCTAATACATAATCCTCTCAGCAAAATTTCAAAATTTCAGCAAAATAAAAAGAAGATATTAAGTTCCAAATGGGGGAACAAACTCATTTTTTACATGCACACACATAGAACCACATTCTCACACACACATACACACAACGGACAACTCGTACGCTGACACTAACATCCATAAATACAGAAAAAATAGTTACTAATCGTTCATGAATATCTCATACTACTAAGATAAAAATTACAAAATAATGTCAATAACAATGAGATTATGATTTTGAATTTAACAATAAATTAATTTTAGCTTCTCTGAAGTAGTATAAATGATAAAAAGAACAATAGGAATAAAGAATAACGCATGAAAAGCGGTTTGTAAAGCAACAAGGATTACAACTTTCGCAATCGTGCTAAGAAAATATACATCAGAATACAATATCAATATGCCTAACCCCGTGGTTAATGATCCTTGAAGTATTGGAAAGCCTATACGATACAAAGAATCTTTTAATCTTTCATTCGGTGTTTTGCATTGTGACATGACATAAGCATACGAAATATGAGCAGGATAATTCACGCTGAATCCCACACACAGAATAAGGCTCATCATTGATATAATATCCAAGTTCACACCCCATAACGACATGTAACCTAAAGTTTCTACTATTAGAGATACCACAGATATTGCAACAATAATTGCCACTAACAAATTTAGTACAAACAATAGAAAAACTGCTGTTGTTATTATAGCACTAATGAAAAACAACTGGTGAATCATTTGTCCAATGATGATCCCTTGTTCAATCAGACCTGATTTAACACAATGCACCAGTATAGAAATTTCGGACTCATCAGCAATTTTCAATAAATCTCTTAATGTATCTCTTTCTGTGTATGAAGAATTTAAATCTTTTCCCATAATAAAAAATCTACTGTATATGATATCAGTTTCGTTGCTGTTAAAGACAACGTCATTAGAGAGTGACTTGGCTGCTCTGATATTGAAAAATACGTCGCGAAGCCCATCGATGAAGTCTTGCTTATTTGACATATTGTACCCTTGTAATGAAAATTTCGCAACGTGACTTTTCTGAAATTCTTTGTAGAATTTTAACCAAGACAAAGTGAATTCTCCGGCAATATTTGGATGTTTCTCGAATTTTGTCAACAGATTTTCTATCGATTTCTGTACCTTTATATCTGAGTAATCCAACGTTTCATTAATAATTATGTGAAAGGGATAAGAGTAACGCATAAAGTATTTTAAATTAATCTTGAAGCTTTCTCTAACTAAAGATCCTTCAGAAAACAACGTTTCATACTTAATTCCTTTATTGATGTAAACTGTGCCCCAAATTCCGAATGATAAATTAATGATATAGATTATAATAATAATTATCCTCACCAGTGGATTCGATAATATTTTTCCTAATGAATCTCTTATAACGGCCATAGTAAATTCTTCTTGTGTAGTATTTTTATTTTCCTTCGGATATTCTTCACTTTGTTCTGAAAAAAAGGTCTCATTATGTATGAAAAATAATGTAAAATAATAAACATTTACTTAAGTTTTGCATACACTGTATATGAAAGTTTAAATAGCTAATTAATTCCAAAATTTCCTTTTATAGATGATTAAGTTAAATGATTTTATAAAAATATTAATAGATAATAAAACCTTGATCTGAGAAAGATATTCAATGTGCTTTCTATTTTAAAATACTATTTCTTATTCACTTGGAAAATAATTAGTTTACATTATTAATGTGTTATTGAATTGATGATATAAGGCAACGCAGCACTTTGGAAATCTGTCAAGTTGGAGTTATGTCTTCGGAGAGGGTTCAATAGAAAACTGTTCCATACTTAGATGTCACACAGATCTATTAGTATACAAGAAATCGTGGCGTTGTCTTCTGTCTGCTGAGATGCAAAACCTTGATTAACTTACTAATGTTACATGGTTTTATCCATCACATTTTGCGTAAAGTAAACTATTATTATAGTTATGTTTCAAAAATCAGCATAACCTTTTATTATTCCTGTCACAGGAAATATCGATCTGAATGGCAGGAAATCAAGAAACAGAACATTATATTTTTTATACAGAAAAACAAGAAAATATTACTCGGAATTATTGTATATATTTTACCACAAAAGTTATTAATATGAAATATGACTGCCTCTTGAAAGATCTTATTGCAAATGTGGGGCAAGTGGCATATAAGGATAAATAACTGAATATCAGCAAACGAGTTGTAATGAGAACAAGAATTCACATTGTATATGAAACTAAAGAATTCTACATCGCAATTAATTCATTAACTGAAGGTTACTAATTTATTTTGGTAGGTTAAAAGCATGTATTAACACAAGAGCAAGATGTTCTTATGCCTTTACGACAAGGGACAAAGAACAGTCAAATTATTGCGAATAGAAAGTTTTTCTTATAGGAATGTAATGGAAAAAATACTACACATTTATTATTTGCAGATTAGTGTGTTATTGTTTCTATTATTGAATTATTCCTTTACTAACATATTACTATATTAAACTTTAAAGTATGCTATTTTGATAAAAGTTTGTGGTATGTCTTATCACTTCATATGTCTGAATTGTTTCTTTTCTATTTTTATTGGTATAGTTATAATTGAAATACAGATTAATATATATAGTAATTATGAAGCTACTGATGTTATTAGTTAGTAAATTATTACATGCTTCATGTAAAATACTGTAAGTGTAAAACATGGTAGTTTATCATATCAACACTTCAAACCTTCACCTAAATTAATTAAAGTTGGGTGCAGGCATTTGGAAAATGATCAATATTTTAAAATATATTCTTAATCTATTTATAAATTTCAGAAAAATCTTTAAAATTGTATATCAAGTTCAATAAATGCATGATAAATGTTATGTTAAGAAAGTGTTATGATAATGGTAAAAAAGGATTTTGCAGCGAAATGTATTCGATCTCTGCTTAAGATTTACATAGAAAGAAATATAAATGAAACTTGTATAAAACAACAAAAACCGTAAAAACTTTAACTAATTAAGAAATGTTTCTGATATAGTGATTATATACTTAAATTAACGTCATACGGTAAATATATAGTGTTTTGTTAAAAACGAATTTCAACTCACCACAGTTAAATTCTCTGGAACGAAGGTTTTTCTTTTCTCTGTAGCCACTCAACGCCAAACATCCTCCAAAGAACGTTATCTGATATAGAAAATTGAAAATTATGCAAGTTGTAGTATAATAACAAAATATTCGAATGAACGGAAATGGAGCCATCATTCCGATGCAATACGAAAGGAAATTTGTAAGTGAAGTCAATGTAATGGAAACTCCTGCTTCACAATATGTTATTTCCATGCGTTTCTCAACTGTATGTTTAAAATCAGTTATTCTCCAACATGCTATTAATACGAAGGCATCATCTATCTCGGTCACTAGAATACAAATAAAATCGTTATTTAATATGCTAGCAATAGTTTTACAATACATTTGAAAAAACAATGATTACTCACCAAGAATTAAAAACGGAATGATGACATTCCAGTACGTGTTTTCTACACCCAAGACTTCCATTAATCCAAATGATGATACAACAGCCAAACCAGCGTTTATTACACTTGCTAAACCAAGAAGAGGTTTGCTCCTCAACCATTTATTGCTCATATTGAAAAATATCGAAAGTATAATTATAAATGCGACCAAACCTCCGACTTTAGGTTTCGTTTTATTAAATTCTTTCTGAAACTCTTCATCTATAGCTAATAGAGAATTTGGAACGACTTTGATATATGTAAAATGATACTTTAGTATTATGTCACAAACATGAGTGGACCATTTATTGAACAATTTCTTTTTAATTTCATTTTTATCATCAGTCAGGTATATTAACGCAATCGCATTTACTTTCTCCACGAAGTTTTCATTATCTTCTGTAACACCTCCTAAATTTATAAAGTAGGCCTTATATCTGAAAGTTAAGTAATCGATATCGACAGGATATTTAAGCTTTATTCTCTTTTGAAGTATAGTATCTATTCCAGCATCTGTTATTATTTCAATAATAGGATTTTGAAAGCATTTTTTGTGCATGTGTGTGCAGAGATCTTGATATTGTATTAATTTCCCATCAGTTTTTAATGATGTGTTTTGTATGATTTCATCGACTAATTTAACTTCTGAAAGAACATTTTTACTAAACATGTTTCCTTCATCTTGTTTTAAAATGTGTATCATCAGACAATTGGGCAAATCAGGACGTCTCAATTGATCAGAAAATTCAGATGAATTATACGAAAAAGTATTTTCTATATATTTCTTATTGCTAAAAACTTTTCCTGTATCCGAAATTATTATGTTATTGAACGTCTTACTGGATTTTAATTCTTTGAGAAATATCGATAGCGTAATAGACAGAATTACAGGTAGAAGTATAAAGTAATATGGATGTTGTGCAACTGTTTTTCCTAACTTTTTAAACACATAACAAATGATTTTTCTTACGCAATCCAGTTTCATTCTTCAGCTTCGACGTGTCTTTGCAAAATAATCTTTCAATGATTATCTGAAAAATCCATAGCAATATTTAATATATTGAATTACATTTAAAAAAAAAACTCATAATGATATTACAATATGGACTAATTTAACATTCCAAACGAATGAAGAACAAGTAATGGTATAAGCCAGTAATGAAAAACTTTTTTCAAAGCGTGCTGCAAAAGAACTTCGTACATTTACAACGGGCAACATACATGTTTTATTACGAAATGTCAGGCTTTTATTTTTCTATGTACTAACATAAATCCCATAACTGCCAGTACAAAAGTACTACTAAAAGTATATGTGCTAACGGTATGCAAACTACTGATGTATATATTATTCTTCTCTTATTACTAGTCAACTCTAGATTTGTTTCTAATTAATGAGTATTCGGCTTTGCGCATCCAAAAATGACCACTAGCAATCAAAATGGCCATAACACTCGTTTCCTTTTAAAGAAACATTTTTAAGATAATGTTGTGATAAATGCAGGGTGTGACAATAAAGTGAAAAAGCAACTGCTTGGTTTGAACACATAGTTTAATCTAAGCTGTATATACTACACATACCAAAAATGAAGGGGGATGAGGTATGAATTACAAGAATGTAGTTATATAAACAAAAGTCTAGACATCATCTGGAATGTCCCTAGGAGAGTGTCATGATATTCTCACCAGCACTTCCCCTCATTCCAGTGAGTGCTTAATATATTATAGACCAAGGTGTAATAATAAATGCAATCTTGATACATGACTTATAAGATCGACTTCATATTTAAAAGTCTTAGTCCATTAGCATGTTTCGGGTAGTGTAAGCCTTTTGTTAAAAGATCGGAAAGCATCTTATCCGTAGAAATAAATGCGATGTCTATTCTTCCTCATTCAAAGCATTAACGCGATGATTCAAATGACGTCTTATATCTATGACATTTAAATGATGTCTTATATCTATGTGCTTACTTCGCGAGTGAAACATTGGATTTCGAGCAAGTAATTGTGCTCCTTGGTCTTGAGAGTTCATCGAAAAGTTCTAGTAGGTGTAGAGCTTTTTTAGCAGCATCTGATAATGTCATATATTAGGCTTCGGTGCTCGATAAGGCAACGTGCGTTGTTTTCTTGATTCCCATGAGATTGGTTCACCAGCGAGCTTAAAAATGTATCCCGAGAGGGAACTGCGATCGTCTGTCGATGCTTCCTAGTCAGAGTCTGAGAATCCTGTAATTGGTTCTCCGGTTGTCTCAAATCTCAGGCCATGATTGGTTGTCCTTCTTAGATATTGAAGGACACGTTTCGCTGCAGTCCAGTGTATTTGGTCATGTTGGTTGTTATACTGACTCAGTTTGCTTACTGCATGTGCAATGTATAGCCTGGTGCAGGTAGAAAAATAAAGATGACAACCAATTAGTTTTCGAAATGGAAATTGCTTCATTTCCTGAACTGATGCGTTTTCAGGCTTGTGAAGTTTGGAGCTTTAATCAAGAATAATTGCGACTGGTTTCGATTCTTCCATCGAGAAACGTTCGAAGATTTCCTCGATATATCTCTTTTGACACATTTGAATTATCGTCTTCCCCTCCTTTTCTCGTTGGAAGAATTCGATGCCCAAGCAATAGTGAAGTTGTGCCAGGTCTTTCATGTCAAATTTGGACATGAGAGTCTTTTTTAGTTTGGCCTTTTCGATTTCGTCATATGAGACAATTATGAGGTCGTCAACATAGATAATGACAAAGGTCAAGTTGTTCTGTTCATTTCGAATATAAATGCAGGGGGTCAAAGTTCAACGCTCTTAAACCCAGTTGTTTAAGTTTATTATCCAGTTTTCACGTTCAATTGGTTGATGAGTAAATGTTCGGCAGCAATGACTAGTACAGTACGAATGGAGTTGATCCTTGCAACTGGTGCAAAAGTTTCTTGGAAGTCTATTCCAGGGCGTTGAGTGTAACCTTTTGCTACTAGTCTCGCCTTTCGTCTTTCAAGAGTGCCATCTGCATTGTATTTGTTGCGAAGGACGATACGGCAACCTACAATGTCTTTGTCAGGAGGACGGTTGGTGATGCGCAATGTGTCGTTTTCGATGATGGAGATAAACTCACTTCTGATTGCTTCCCTCTATTCTTGAGCAAACGAGCTTGAGAGGGCATCCTTGACAGAGATTTCGGTGTTGAATGCCATTTCCTGGATGACAGCGGCAAATTCACTTGTATCGCTCCCTTGTTGGACATTTTCTTGGTTCAGTTCCTCATTCTGTAAATGTGGTCCTTCGGTTTGGCGTTGCGAAATCGAATTTGTCGCCGTCCTGTTAAAACGTTTGTGATGTCTATCTTTTATGTCAGTTTTGATTACGCGTGGGCGACCTGGACTCCTCTTTAGTTCATTATTCCCGGAGATTTTATTTCCATCGTCGTCTTTTTGGATAGTGTGACAGATGATCTTTTCCCCTTGTTCAATGGTTAAGGATGGAAGTTTAGTTAACTCGGTGATTACTTTGTGGCGACGAGTTTTGTTTTCTTGTGATGAAAATTCTCCTAAGATGAATTCCTCAAAGTCATTATTCGAGGTCTTTAGTTCAAGGAACTTAACATCTCGAAGTCGCAACTATCTTTTTCCGAGTTGGCATCCAAATTCGATAGGCTTTGGATTGTTCAGAATATAGAATGAATACGCCTTTTTCAGAGCGAGGATCAAATTTACTGATTGTTGGGTCCTTATTGAGTACAGAAGCGGGACTACCAAAGGTTCCAAGTGAGAAATTTTGCAATCCTTCCCATTTATAATTCCGTAGGCTGTATCATTATCTAACGCTCTAGAAGGACAGTGGTTCAGATTAAAGTTTGCTGTGTGGACGACTTTGACCCAAAAGGAGGCCTTGAGTCCTGACTTAATTAGCATGCATCAAGCCATCTCGACTTATGTTCGATTCTTTCTTTTAGCCATTCCATTTTGTTATGGAGTATAAGGGGACAGTTAAGCGTCGCTTTATCCCACAGTGAAGATCTTAGTGACGTTTTTTCCCAACTCCGTCTCGTTAAGTTGGTTTCCGTGTGTATCATGATTCCATATAGTGATCCAGGTTCGATGGAAAGCACACCTGCACACTCAAATTAATAATATTTACAGTTTATTTACAGATTCGATATGTAGAAGGTGCAAGTTCGAAAACATAATATATATATACAGGGTAACAATGCGTGGTGACTCATGTACTAGCTTGGTTTCTGGAAACTTTAAACTTTGAAGAGGCCTCAGCCAGCTCGCGGAGTTGGCTCAACTGCACGGTCAGCCCAGTCTCTGCACTAACCTGTCCCTTAGATGTTTATCAGAGAAGAACACTCTCTCTACGCTCAGCGGGTATCCTAAGTGCCTAAGACTACCGTGTACCAGTCTCTTACCCTTCTCTCCTCCTCTCTTGTTCGCCCTGCAATTTAAGAGTATTTTGGGCAGGGAATTCCGACCAATCACGACCCCTTCTTGCCCGAACAGCTTACACTCAGGCGTCATCCGACGAGAGTTAAGCTTACATAAACGTCCGCCACTTGTTTACATTCAGTTGTTTACATTCAGTATGGTAAACAATGGTCTAACATCTGATTACAGGTGGGTCCAATTGACAAAGCCGGCGCTTTCTTTGTTTTCCCTTGTTTACAAGTCAATACCTTACAAGTGGTATTACCCGACTGCACGTGGGTCCAATTGAGAAGGTCGCGCCTCTTCTGTTCCCACTCTGCTAAAAGGTTAATACTTTACACCCACATTCTTTCAAATATTCGTCAAACTCTTTGTTACAATATTCGGTTCCGTTGTCAGATTGAAGGCATTTGATTTTCATCCTGAACTGTGTCACTAGAAGGTTCTTTACTTGTTTAAAGACGTTCGGTATATTGCTATTGTTGTTGAGAAAACGTACTCCACACTATCGAGATCGGGCGTCTATGAAGACAGCAAAATATCTAGCGCCTGACATAGATTGAATTCGAGTCGGACTGCATATATCAGTGTATACGATATATTGGAAGTGTATGGAAAGTTCGTTGGTTGTCTACTCAAGTAAATGGATTTTGCATCATTTTTGCTCTGAGGCATGACTCACACAGGGATAAGCGATCACCAGATGGGATTCAAATTTCAAGACGTAAGAATATCATCTTTACGCTCTTTTGATTAAGATGACCTAGGCGTTCATGTCAATCTATTAGGATGGACTTAGATTGAGCGATGGCAGCAACTGGATTTTATTTACGAATATAGTAGAGTTCCTTCACTCGATCAGCTATAGCAACAACGTTGTCGTTTTGGTCCATGACAAATGCAACTTGTTTGCGTAATAAAACTTTATAGCCTTTATCACAAATTTTACCGACATGAGATATGTTCGAACGTCTAGAACCAGAAGAGTGTCAGATAAGGTGAATACTCGTCCTGCTGATTCATCGTCAAGTGCTAGTTGCACTGAACCAATTCCTTCGATTGTTGCAGTGTTTTCTTCTCTGGCTAGGTTCAAGGTTCGTCCGTCGGGCTTGATTTCTCTGAAATCATCTCTATTAGCACACATGTGGGAAGATGTACCACTATCGAGACACCATTTATCCCTTTTGGTTGATCTTGAATCAGTTGTCTCGCCATAAAAGCATTCTTCAACGGCTTTACCGGTACGCTTTGGGTTTGTAGCAGCAGTCAGAAGATTGTGATTTCGACGACCGAAGTATTCGCATTTCGATCCACCTAGATTTGTTTTCTTAAATTTTAATGTAGTTTTGCCATTTGGATTTTTATGACCATCTTTATTTTTGAAGTTCTTGTTCTTTTCAGCATATATGGCATTGGGCACTGCATTTGTTTTTTTGCCTTTTCGAGATTCGCGCTCTTCGAACATCTTCACTTTAATTAAGGACATCTGGATTTGGCAGATTGTCGCGTGATCTAATTGCACAACGAAAGTTTTCGTAGGATGTCGGAAGGCTATATAATAACATTATAGCGAGAAGGTCGTCGATGATGTTAACATTTAAATCTTGAAGCTTATCGACAGCATCAAATAATTTGTTAACGTGGTCTCTGGCGTCATCAGGCTAAACAATTTTATGCAGTATGAACTGTTTGAGGAGTGTGGCCTTGTGCATGGGACCTTTAAGTTTGTAAATGGATTTCAATTTGTTCTAAATTTCTAAAGCAGTCTTATATCCCTTGACTTGTTTTAGTTTGCTGGAACTGATTGTGAGAATTAAATCAGCTTGGACCTTGGAATCGTCTTCATCCTATGTGGCTGCTCTTACCTCATCATCGATGGGTCGCAAGTAAGTCCCATACACGTATATCCACGTTCCATTTTTATTTTTAACTAAGATAGCTTTTGCTTGGATTTTCCAGGTATCGTAGTTATCCTTCTTTAATGTTCAATTTTTATCGTGGTCGTCATTATTAAATATAGTTGTTAATGATCGAATGATAAGAACCAAGACTATTATAATCGAAAAATCGTCTTATCATTTCAATGTCTACGTATCGGTAAGTTCCCACCAAAATCTGTTGCCGCGTTTTTTGTTCGCTAACTTGACCAGAAGTTTATTTTCGATATTTGACGTGGAATTTTATAAAAAAGGATTCATACTTTTGTTCTTTGTTGGTTCTCTGAGTTTCATAGCGATTGAATTTATGGAGCATGAGAAATTGTCCAAAAAAGAATCAGTACAGTACATGCTTAACTTTTCTCAATTAAACTTTTCTTGGGAATTTTCGTTTTATTCCTTTTCATAGGGCTCCTCCTGGGCCCATAACCTATTGTGATAAATACAGGGTGTGGCAGTGGAGTAAAGTGTAAAAGCAACTGCTTGGTTTGAACACAGAGTTTAATCTATGCTGTATATGGTACACATACCAAAAAAAAACGAAGGGGATAAAGTATGAATTACAAGAAGGTAGTTATATAAACAAAAGTGTAGATATCATCTAAAATGTCTCTAGGAGAGTGTTATGATACTCTCACCAACAGATTAATTAATGTATTTTTAATACTTGTATAGCCTGTTTTTAATAATTAATATATTCTGTAATATAAATAAATAAACTGCGTTTATTTAATTTACAAAAATAAAAATCAAATTGATTAAAAATTAAAATAAAAACGTTCATACTTCTGCAATTATTTTAGAGCAGTCATGAGATATTCGAGATATTTATTTACTCCTTCTATTCACATTTTTAATAAAAATTATCAATTAATTTAAATAGAAAAAATATAATAAAAAGAACAATCAGTTACGTATAGAATCGTGTGTGCAGTTGGGTAACCATTATCATCAAAGCGAAAGTTTGGTTTGGAAATAAAAATATTTATTCAAGAAAGAGATAGTAAAGGTATTTAAAAAAGCTGACTAAAAATATAATTTATGTAAAAAAAACCCAAATTGTTTAACAGCAAGAAAGATGAAATCTTAAAATAACTCATACATTTAACTAAGGCTTACTTTGAACTATAATATAAACTATGATTCTTAATAGTAATTACTGTCATATTAGTGAAATATAAAAATTAATCGGATATATCTCAAAGAAAAATAAATAAATTATCACAAACAAAAAAAAGTATATTACACAAACCATTTTTTACAAAGTTTAAAATAAGAAAAACTTACATTTCGCTTGTAGACGGAATATAATACATTTATATACTATTTCAATATATATTTACCGAAATGATCAAGATTAAATTTAGAGAGATATTCACTTATAAACAGATCAAAAGTCATTTAAAGATAATCACGATTAATCTTCTTCTATTATGTAAACTAATGATGTTAAATTTTTTCTATAGATGAATTCAATAAATCAATAAAGTAAAAAATAATGTAATTGTACAGTTATAAAAAAAAATTAAAAATAAATTAATGGATTACATTTATTAATTTATTTTTGTCATAAAACTTTATACCGATAAAGACGAATAAACATTAAAATAACGTAAATATTCAAGGAAATTTGCTTAAACTTAAACTGACATCTAAATCTAAACATGAAGATAAGATAAATGTAATATAGCATTTTCAGAATAACTTATTCCAAGGTTTTATTTTATTATAGTATTGATAATTTCATTGAAAAACTCCACCACGAGTTGCTTTCGTTTCATTTCATTATTGTTGATTGGTTTGTATGGTGTGTTCAGCACATATAGGCTATTTGCTCCGAGAGAACGAGGTGTCCGATGAGCCGGCCTTATAGATGGATAGATGGAATGGCCATACGCGCGCGATGGAAATAATGCCTTCTGGTAGGACTTTTATGGAAAACTGACCTCTATTCAGGCATCAAATGACGTAGAAACAACCCTGAAAACGCCACGCAGCCAGTCTGTCCGAGCGCCAACGAGCGCGGCGAGAGGCCATGACTGCACTCCCACTGTTCAGGGTTAAGTGCACCCCAAGTGCAGAAACGAAGACCGCTGGGCCACTGGTGGGCCGCCATGAGTTGCTTAGTTTTTCCAACAATATTTAAATATGCGTGTGTGGTGTCATCTGTTATTATATTTTATTACTTAAAATTTTATATATTTTTAATTTGTATAAAATTCGCAAAAATCTAAATTTTGAAGGTAGGAATAGATTTTATAAAAATTTTTAAATGCTAATATAGATTAAATTCGATATTAATTACTTAATTAACCGTATGGATCAGCATATATACATCGTTATCTATGATATGTGCAAATTTCAGGAATTATTTTTGCCGCGAATATATTATATGACAATTTATTAATTAGGTAATTAAACGTGCTATTGTTTTTATGGGAGTTTTTTAATCAAATTAATTAAATCGTTCTAAACTTCTCTTTCACCGATTTGACTTCGGTAAAATTTTTTAAAACGCTGCTGGATGTTTTTTATGACACCAGTAGATACTTTTTGTTTTTTGTTCAGTAGAATTTTTTCTCCATACATTTTTTGGTCCCCTCGTAATTTAATAGCATTAAAATCGACAATATTGTGTTAGATTTAAACAGATGCGGTAAGTTAGCTCCCCTCCTGATTTAGACCAATATTCTGCCGAAGCATACATGAGAACTACCCGGGAAAGCGAACTCCAGCTGTATTCAAGGTCAACCAGTTTGTAAACAATGTAGACTGCACTTTGAAACTTCACTCCTGGTTAAACGAAAGAATAACAATCCTTACAGCTATATTTCTCAAATAAAAGAATTTATTTTAAATTATTTTTACTTTTTTATATACTTTTTTTATAAAAACACTTTTTAGAGGGGATTTTATTTCGCGGAAATTATTTTCCGGAAATTTTTTTGGATGCTAGATTCGCGTTCAAGCGGAAATAATTATTTCATTCAAAAATAAATTTTTTTGTGGATTTCATAGTTGCATTTGAATCGGAACTTGGGTAGCAAAGGAGTTAAGTCTGACCCAACTCGAGATCCAACACGTGACTCTCTTTATCTCCCCACCCTCTTAACATTTAATCACAAAAATAACACAGAATTAATCCCTCTAAAACGCAAACATTCCTTAAAAATTTCAGATTTTTCTGTGGAGGAGCACAAGAATTATTAATTAATGTATAAAAGGTGAACAAAATTGTACACCCTACACACATACATTTATGTCCATACTTACAGAAAAAATACCGGAATATTTTTGTATCTCTCGATGTTTCAAGGGCTATTGAGTATAAAAATGTAAAATTGTTAAAGAGAGTGCATATTTTGATCTTTCTCCATACTTACCATTTGTTATTTTCGTATATAAGAGGACTTAGAAGGTAAAAGACAACAATGTATTCATTATTTCAAAACGTTTAGAATAATTTAACTTTAGTGCAAAATGCCAACTTTTGATTGACAGTAACTAGGTGAATTAAAATTGTTATGAAAAAATTAAATAAAGATATCATTGTCTGGTCTTTTAGCTATATTTTCGTATAAAAAGTTATTTCTAAATAAAGATTAGAGTCATAGCTTTTGCTTAAATGATTTCAAAAAAAGTATAGAATATATTATTCTAATAATTGGTTGCATTCTCCTTGTAAATTACATATTTAATTCTTTTCGACATACTATCAATAAGCGATTGAGAGTTAAATTCGCGAGGAAATTTCATGATATGCTTTCTATCTTTCAAGTTGAACTTTGCTTAATTCTCCCACATTTGTTGATGATTAATGAATGTCCCTTTTTAAAACAGGATATTCTTCGGCATTTGGAAACTTCACAGAAATTATGTTTTCAATTTGATTTGACTAAACGTTTTCTTTATACCAGACCAACATATTTGCTTGTGGCAGCATTCTTTTTTACCATTCAATTCAATACATCTAACAGCGTGTTTCACCATACATCGAACATTTTGTTATCATATCAATTTATTTGACGAGTTTTTATTGCGATTTATGGGAGATTGTCCAGTTTTAAGTTCTTCCTTAATGTCAGGCCCAGATTGCTACATATGATGATTATTGGGAATTCAAAAAATTGGCTTTGTCATGATATCGGCCATGAAAAGTTGTGTATGTTTTCAAAAACTTATGTTCAACGGTGGTGAGGTTCGATCACAGGCAAAACACTTTCTGACTTACATAGAACTCAGATCAATTAATTCATCACGGAAAATTCAGAAAGAAGTGAAAATTTTTAAATATTAGTCTAAAAATAACTAAATTGTTCAGATAATGTTTGAATTACACAGCAAATTAATAAGGCAAAAATTTTATTATTTTAACTCGATCATCAATTTTTTTATGCATCATCAATTTTTCGCATGATTACTGATTTACTTTGATAGATGAAGACAGAGAGATTTACTATTGTGTTGGTTTTTAAACGTGAAAATTTGCTCTTGTGTTGGTTTTTAAACGTGATAAATAAATTTTTCAAGAAGTCTTTCTCATAATAAGATAATTATAAATAAAAGCAGAGTGAATAACAGAACAAATTAATATATTACATCTATTTGGTGCTGAAGTTTATTAGAAAAAAATTATTTATAAGAGGGTGAGTAATAAATTTATTTGGCAAATACACAACTTCAGACATTAAAATTAATGTTATACCCACACATAGCAAAAGCTTTCAAATTTTCTCGTATAATTTTTTAAATATTACTATCAAGCGTGCATTTCTGTTTGGAAAATATTTCTTGATATCACGTCATACGAAATGTATATATCCAAAATATTTTGAATACTTTTAGAAAAAAATTAATCATATCTAAATATGTGGGTACAGTTTAATCACTACTTTATAAAAAATAAAATTTGACTAAACATAATTAGCATGTCTTTTCATGCTTTTCAATATAGTTATTGTTTATTCGCAGAAATATTAAAAGAAGACATTAATGTCAACACCAATGAAATAATCATTTCTATTTTAGAAAGCATTTTATTTTTTCACATATAGCATAAATGATAGAAAATACTACAGGAATAAAGAACAATGCATGAAAAGCCGTTTCCATAGCTACAACGATTACAATTTTCGCGAAGGTCAAAATAAAATATACATCAGAATATAAAATCAATATTCCTAATACAGTTGTCAATGATCCTTGAAGTATTGGAAAGCCTATACGATACAAAGAATCTTTTAATCTTTCGTTCGCTGTTTTGCATTGTGACATGACATAAGCATACGAAATATGAGCAGGATAATTTACGCTGAATCCCACACACAGAATAAGGCTCATCATTGATATAATATCCAGGTTAACGCCCCATAAGGATATGTAACCTAGCGTTTCTACCATTGCAGATACCACAGATATTGCAACAATAATTGCCACTAACAAATTTGGGACAAACAATAGAAAAACTGCTGTTATTATTATAGCACTAATCCAAAATAATTGTTCTATCATTTGTCCAATAATGATCCCTTGTTCAATGTAACCTGACTTAATGCAATGCACCAGCACGGAAATTTCGGACTCGTCAGCAATTTTCAATAAATCTCTTAATGTATCTCTTTCTGTGTATGAAGAATTTAAATCTTTTCCCATAATAAAAAATCTACTGTATATGATATCCGTTTTGTTGCTGTTAAAGACAACGTCATTAGATAATGATTTGGCTGCTCTGATGTTGAAGAATACATTGCAAAGTCCGTCGATAAAGTCTTGTTTGTTTGTCATATTGTAACCTTGTAATGAAAATTTTGCTACCGGACTTTTCTGAAATTCTTGGTAGAATTTTAACCAAGATATAGTGAATTCTTCTCCTGCAATATTTGGATATTTTTCGAAATTATTTAACAAATTTTTTATCGATTTTTGTACCTTTATATCTGAATAATCCAACGTTTCATTAATAATTATGTGAAAGGGACATGAGTAATGTGTGAAGTATTTGAAAAAAATTCTAATACTTTCTGTAAGTACAGAATTTTCTGCAAATAAGTTTTCGTATTTAATGCCATGCACAATATAAAATATACTCCAAATTCCAAATAATAAATTAGTGATATAAATTATAATAACAACTATTTTTACGAACGGATTCGACAGTATTTTTCCTAATGAGTTTTTGAAAAATGGCATAGGAAATGCTTGTATTGTAGTATTATTCTCATTAGGGTATACTTCAATTTGCTCTGGAAAGAAAAACATAAATCAGATATACTGAAAGTAATACAAATTATGAATGATGTTAAGTAAATTTAATAGATAATGAATTACATGATATCAGGTATGAAATTATGTATTACGTTAAATTAAAGAATTTTAATAAATGTGGATTATACAGACCAATTCTGAAGAAATTCTAAAATGCAGCACAAAATTTGATGTCATTTAAATCAAACAAAAATTGATTTTTCAGAAATGTTTGTATCAAAGCAATGTAATCGTGTTTTTTTTTCTGTAGCCAAATAAGGATACGAAATAGTTTCCTTCTACTTGATTATGATTTATTATAACATCATTTTCTGCTATTAAATATTATTACAACAGAAATGAAAACTGGTTACTGTACTTCGTATATGTTCACACTTTAAAGGATATTAAGTATCTTAGGATTAAATACAAATGAATGTCTTTTCCTGTTATATATAACAGAAAAAATTACAATGGATGGAATGATCAAAAGCAATGGATCAAAAAATTCGTCCCTCCAGTTTTTATATCGGACTCAGGATCTTGAAACGTCGAAAAATGCAAAAGAATTCGGTTTCCGCCCTGTATGTATGGATATTATTGTGTGGAGAAGCACGATTTTGTTTACAATATTTGATGCTTAATAACTCCTATGCTTTTTGTTGAAAACATTTGAAATTTTGCAGAAAGTTTTGTTAATTAAGGAAATTGATGCTGATCAATTTTGGTGATTAAAGGACTAGGGGTGAAAAGATAAAAGGATCATGTGTGTCTCCATTAAGGTCAGAATTAATGACGATTTTATTTGTTATTAGCATTTATGTTTTATAATAAAATCCACCCCTACCGTCAAAGTTAACTTTTTTTCAATTTATAATATTTAAGAATTTTCATAAAATATGATAAAAGACAGTTTCACCAAAGTGATAAATTTTGTCAGAAAAGTAAACAACTCGTTGCTGTACTTTTTTAAATTGTACAACAGTTCTGTTTATTGTAGAAGTCAGGCTGTATGAGTTTTTCTTACTTTTTACTTTTTACGTTATTTGGGTAGTAAGTTCAGGACATCTTCCCGTGATTTTATTGTGTTTTAGCATAACATTGCTGTATATTTATTCATTTTTACAAAGTGGGACGCAGAGAACAGATCATATGTAAGAAATGAACCAGGTCTTTGTTCTTTTGTTTTTCTCTTACCTTTTGAAAATCGCGGGTGGAATTTTGTCAATAAACCCAATGTCTACGGACCTTCTGTAACCGTTTATTGTATTTGTGTATATTGTAATTGGCAGATCCAGAAGTACTTAAAGGAATGGTGACTCAAATGTTGGAAATATTTGAATAATTGTGAGAACCATTTATTAACATGTGCAATATGAATGTATTGCAGATGGTCTAATATACTATATTTGCCATAATAATTGTTTTTAAAAAACAATGTTTTGCAGTTCGAAAATATAAATTTGAATTCTCTATGTGTCCGTGGGAAGAGCATAGGCAACACTAGTCAGTTCATTAATTCGTCTGTCTAAACTGCGAAGTATAGTATAGTTTGTATTGCAAGCCCGAAGGATGGTTAATTGTTCGAATATTATAAAACAATCTATTTTTATTGTATCAATTATTAATTTCAAATGACCCACCAGGCGTAATCTAATGATGATAAACTGGCGTAATATGTCTGAAACACTTAGCTCCAAAAAATTAATGAGGCTCATAATATAAACTGGACCCACGACTTCCTTCTAACAAGATTACAACTAATGCATGCTGTCAAGTATGAAATTATTAGATTTTGTTTTGACAGAAATGAGATTAAAGCATTTTATGAATATTATCCAGTATGAATTGTGATTACTTTTTCAGTTTGGAACAGTAATTTAATCTATGCAATAATAATTTTTATGTTTACTCATTAATTTCTTGCAGTTTCCAAATAATTAATAAATTATTAAAGTTTTATCAGTACTTTTCATTCAAATAAAATTCTTTTATAAGAATACACTATACTCTGAATTATTTGCTATAATATTGTATAGTACATATATATCAATTATATTTGATTTTATCTCAGTTAAATCATTCTTAAATTTTTAATATTTCTCTAAATTTATTGCGTTCCTTTAGGAGAAGCAACATTTTTAAAGGACATACGCAAAGTATTATTCTGCTGAACGTCTTATACACAACTCTACTTCAGAACATGTCGATTCAAAATTAAATAGCGAAAATCACTTCTGGTAAGTTTCCAGCAATTACAACTGTCGAGAAAAGTTACAAGCGCATAAATTTTAGTTACAAGTTAAAATAAAATACTGGTATACCAAATATATTATGTGTTCGGGACTGTTTATGCACACGCACGTATCTATCGCAAACTGAAAATACGCAGATGTCAACAGCTAGTACGAGCATTATTTAATATTATTTTATTATAAACTTAATAAAATAGAATCAACGATTTTTATATAAACGAAAATTTAGGGAGATCGACCTAAATCGACTGCTCAGAACAAGAGAACAATAGAAATTGTTCATATTTATTTACATTATATTATACTATTAATAAAATATAAAAAAATAGTCACATCAAAATAGAAAAACAGATTTCGTGTGTGGTAACAAAATTGCTGTCTTCTGGCTTTAGGCTAATTTATTTACGTAGAAGAATATTGCCTTTCTATGTCAGAAATAATGTTAATCATTCTACTTTTAAGAATTAGCAATAGCAATTGTAAATATCCAATAATATAAAAATATCATTTTTTATATAAATTATTACGGAATAATTATTTTTATATCAAAATATATTAATTTCGTATTACACATATTCTTAATGAATTTGGATATTTTCCAAAGTTCTGCAAATTTCCTTTAGCTCAAGTTAATAAGCGTTAGAAAAAATATTAAAAATTTTAAGGTCATTCAATTCAGTCAAATAATTTTAATGATTTTTTAGCGTGAGAATAATTTTAATAATGATTTCTGCTTAGAATGCTTGTTTTTCCCGTTTGTATTAAATTATAAATAATTCACAAAACGAGTTTCGTAAATCACTTAAGAACATTTAAATCTGCACATATGGCGCCATGTGGTATGATAATTTATTATTAAAATTTTTAATTTTTTAAATTATTACAAAGTGTCAAAAAGCATAATTTTGAAGGTAGAGATGGGTTTTATAAAAAATTGTAAATACTAATAATGAGTAAAATCGTCAATAAATTTGATCCCAAAGTACAGTACGTACCCTACGACTTAATTAATTAAAGACTATTTCTTTATTTTAAACCTTTGAAGCCGCTGTCTAACTATTATAGCGAATATCGATGTTTTCAAACTGTATTCGTTGGATACTTTCGTAGCGAAATAAGATCTGAATCGGTGAATAAATTAAACAGTTCAATTTTAGTTTCATCAAGCATCTTCTTGTTTAATAGTGTTTTACAATTGTTGATCCTATAAATTAAAATACAAAATTATATCAAGACATAATTTAAACTAAGGAGTCCTTGACACATTTAGAAATGCAAAAAAACTTCAAGGTTCTTTTTGTACGTATAAAAGTTAGAAAATGTTTATGTGTTTGTGTGTGTTAGATATTCAGACTTGAGCCTGAACCGCAAAATACTTACATGCGACAAATTAGAAATTGGCAAATGAAGATGTGATTATTAAACAATTTATTCAAATAAATAAATAGATAATTAAGTAAATAATAAAAATTTTAAAAAATACTGTTTTGTCGAACACGTTATTAGACACTATAATATAACTAATATTGTTTATATTTAACTACTTTTAAGGGAAACATTTAACTCTTTTTTACGTTTTACATACATTTATCATGCATTTTTCTCTTGTCTGTTCTTGATGTTAAATAATATTTTCAACGTTAAATAATATATTTTCATGATTAGAGTTTAAATTTAGTTTTAGGCTCACTGAAATATTTAATCACTTAATATTAAATGAGTTGTTTTTATTTTAATTGAATCGCATTGTATCATTTATGTAAGTTAAATTTTGGGCTAAAAGTTTCGGTTCGCATTTGATGATATTTAACCAAAACATACTATATGGTATGTACAAGTAGACTCCCCTATAACACTGTTGATTATTTCGTTTTATATGAATTCCATGTTGTACGAGTCACTTAGATTTTACAAATACGTGTGCCGAGCTGTTAGCGGCTCACGTATTTGTAAAATCTAAGTGACTCGTACAACATGGAATTCATATAAAACGGAATAATCAACAGTGTTATAGAGAGGTCGACTGTATTTATGTATTTTTCTGTTGCCACTGATTCTACGTAATTATTGTCTTGCTGTATGTGATTAACTTAAATTAGCTTTAAATTGACTGCTTTTAAGAACATTTATAAAATGAATATTTTAAATACAGGTACACCACCAAATTTCCCGCACCCTTCATTCCAAAGCTTTGCTGGAATAGCAATTTTACTAGACCAACCGTACTAACATATAATATTAATTCATTAGCATACTTTCAACTCACTAATTATACACTTCTCTGTGTGAAATATATCATTAAGTGCTAAAAATTTAATTAAATAAATATTAAATGTAAAAAACCAATTATTTAGTATAGTTCCGGGCTGCAATTTTTAATCATCTTTTAATTTAAAAAATCACGTCACTTCCGATTCAGAACGGAAGTTCTTGTACGGTTAATCAGGTTTCCATATCTAATCTAAATTTTAGCGGTGTCTTGCCTCTTTATATTATACTTTTGCTGATGGCAATCGAGTCAGGCTAGCATCTATCTAACTGCGTTATCGAAAAAATTTTCAATGGAAATTACGCGGCATTCGGTCTTAACAAGACGTTAATATGAAGTTAAACAGTCCTAATCCTTTTCTAGCTAATCTCGATTTTTATCTAAATTTCATTCTCGGCATTAAGCAACGACGGACAGACAGTGACAGTGAGACTGTGACAGTGAAACCTTCCAAAAATAACACAATATAGCACCTTTCATAAATAACACATTATTGAACCTTTCAATAATAACACATTATGTAACCTATCGAAAATAATACATGATAAAACCTTTAAAAATAACACATTATATAACTTTACAAAAATAACACATTATAAGACCTTTCAAAAATAACACATTATAAAACATTTAAAAAATANATAATGCAGTTGATATCGATTTCTACTCAGAAACTTTATCCATTTAGTTGAAATTTAATAAAAGAAAATTTATTTAACTAATGGAATGTTAAAGATATTAGGAAAGTTATAATACAGTAAAAGATATTTTTCAACAACATAAAATAATTAACAGATATTTTATCTTGAAAACTGTTAACTATAAACTATACCACAACATATAACAATAAATAAGCAGTTTTGTTTATAGGAAAGAGCATAATCCAAAACATTATTATTGTTCCTACGCTATAAGTGTTTGACATTTAGTAAATAAGAACATTATAAGTATTTAATTCAAAAGAATTAATCCCTTTATTGTATTTTCACTGGAATCTAATTAAATAAACTAGTTGACATGGATAGAAATAATAAAAAAATAAATAGAAAAATGATACAATACATATTTAAAGCAGATAAGCTTATCACTTTATCACCTGTTTTATACTTCAAACAGAATAAGAGATAAATATCCTGGCATGTTAATGTATATAGAATATCACTATATCTTTGATTAAAATTGTATTTATCATATATAAAATTCTGAGAATAAAAAATAGCATTATTTTGTTTACAGATATATTTAAAAAAGATGGAAGGTGGTAATAAAATAGAGTTATGGTAAACAAATCATATAAGTTTTCAAATTTCAGTTCAACAAATAAAGCTTGAATAGGAAAATGAAAAATTTGAAAGATATATTTGAAAAATAATTTTTTTTCCATTACTCTTCTTCTTATATAATACAAGTCGATTTATTTTTGTTTATTTATTTTGAATAGCAATTTTCTTTAGAATAAATTCATGTTTGTTTATCAAAGATAAACGCTTTCACAGATAATTTAAAAGAATACTTTTATAAATATAATTATAACAATTAATTATTATTTCTAATACAATACATTATATTTTTAAAAATTTATAACTATTTAATTGTCTTTCATTTAAATTTAATTATTTTGATTTGTTTTCAGATGTTTGAATAAACTCTTTCAGGATAATTATGAACA